TTCATGGAATATCCGAACGGTAAAAAAATAAGTAAGTATTGAATATAAAAATATTATATTTATAAATGTTAAACTCAATTTAAAAACGTTGTCTTTGGTCATTTTCTCTCTCTTTATTTTTCAAAAGAAACTTTGTCAGATTAAAAAAAAAAAAAAACAACTTTGTTATGGTTGATTAGATATGTTGACTAGAAATGTTGCCTTGGCGTCCTCTACACGTTTTTAAACAACGCACTTTCCATCGGGGAAAAAAAAAAACAACGCGCTTTCACTTTTTTTTTTTTTACATAAATAAAAATATTTTAAAATTTAAAATATTTTACATTGGAGGGAGGTGGGTGGGTAGGTGGGTTCCCCTTTTTGGGATGAGGGATTTCATCCATCCTGAATGGGACCTTTAACAATGGAGCAGCTGCTGAAACAAAATTTGATCTTATCCTGAAATCTAGAACATTACATTTGCCCGTCTGCTAATTTTCTTTCTATTATTGCGTTCTTATCTGAAAAAGGCAGGGATGATTCCATGTTAGAACACCTGAATTGCCTTTTTGGGCCCGTCGCCTCTTGCACTCTCCGGCCAACACTTCCCCTTTTATTGGGCTACGTAAGCTTGTTCCAGCTTTGAGGTGCGACCTCTTACCGACCAGAATAACGTGGCCCAATAGAAGTGAACGTGTTGGCCGAAGAATGCAGAAGGCGAGTGCCCTTAGCACTTCTCATAAAAGAAAGCTTAATTGTGTGAACACTATTTTTTTAATAAAAAGATAAAAAAAAATTAGACCGGCTAAAGAAATTTACACGAAACTCAAAAAAAAGCTGAAGGGCTTTCACTTTTGGGAAGACGATAAATATTGGTGTCCAGCACTTCAATTTTGAATAATCCATCACTCCTTTGTTTGCTGAATTGTGTTCATCCTTAAGAAAATGGGAAGCTTAATATGGTTTTCCCAAATCCTCTGCCTGTCCTTCATTTTGTTACAGTTTCGAGTCCAAAGCTCCTCGCCTTCTCAATCTTCTCTTAATTCACCGCCACATTTGTGCCATCCTGAAGAGCATTCTGCATTGCTTGATTTCAAAAGCACTACTTATTTGATGAAATACTGTTTTGGTGTTTCTCCTCGTCCTATAATACAAACTTGGAACGAGAGAAAAGACTGCTGCTTGTGGGAGGGCATCACATGCGACAAGGTGAAAGGTCACGTGATTGGCCTTGATCTCAGCTGGAATTGTATTGAAGCCAATCTAACTTCAAATAGTAGTCTCTTCTTCCTTGAGAAATTGCAGAGTCTCGACCTTTCTGGCAATTATTTTCATTATCCTAACATCTCATTTGGGTTCGACCGTTGGAAGAGTTTGACATATCTTAATCTTTCAGGTACGAGATTTCATTTCTTTACTTTTATTTTTTTATTTTTTAAATCTCCATGCTTCTGAAACCGGTTTCACTTCTTCTAATGTGACAAATCTTTAACCTTGCAGATTCAATGGACATGGATGGCTCTCTCCCATTAGATGAGATCTTCATGCTACAGAAATTGGTTTCACTCGATCTCTCACTTAATTATGGTTTGCTTCATCTTGACAACATAGAGTTTCAAATGCTTGTGCATAACTTAACAGAATTAAGGTTTCTTAGCCTTGATTTTGTGAATATGTCTCTGGTTGTGCCTTCTTCCTTGCTAAACTTGACTTCTTCCTTGGAGCATTTGAGCCTT